TTCTTTTCTCATTTTTCGACTTAACATTGCCACATTTCTTATTTACATACGCATGCGCATAGATATATATATTTAAGAAAATGTTCGATTTTTTTTATGTCATTCGTCAAGGTTTTCTTTCGTCTTCCTTCGACTCTGATATCCGTAAAATCCTTTACTTCTCTGTATTTCTATGTTCAATTGACTTTTCCCTCGCGTTTTCTATATTTTCTTTTCAACGTCACGTTTTTAACTTTCTATTCTTTCATATTGCCATTTTTGTTCTTTAAGCTTTTCTTTACACGCTTTTCCACATCATTTTCCCATCATTTTTCTCTTTAATCTTCCTTCTAAGCGATCCACTTTGTAAAATCCCTTCAATTTTTTTCTGTCTCTTTTCGCTTTTGTTTTCGTTAGCCATTTTACACTATTTTTTTTTAACTTAATAAAAGACTTAAGAGACGTTCAAGGTAGAAGTTTACTGAATGAGTTTTTTTTATGGACGTAACAGGAGGAGATAAGAAATGCATATTATAAAGTAGATAGGATATATTACGTTTGACGCTAGATTTTAAGAGATTAAGATTATAATGATCTGGGAAGCAGCCTCTTGGAAGTCTGTTCTACAAATCAGCTTTTCTTGGGAAGAACCTGTCCCAATGGAATTTCTTTCTAATCAGTGGAATAAGAAGGAAATGAGGATGATTCGACCTTGTGTACATGGTACGGCGGGTCCTATCTGTGAAGGTCTGAACTAGTGAAACTAAGGCATATAAGTCGTTTTTTACCTTTTCTTTTCCTCCTCGTCCGTTATATCCTTCAATACAGTTCTTTCTTTCTTTCTTTCTTTCTTTCTTTCTTTCTTTCTTTCTTTCTTTCTTTCTTTGCATTTATATTTCCTCCCTATCTTTCTTTGTCTCACTGTCATACAAACTCTTCCCTTATATACACTTTCGCCTTGGGCACCTCGAGGCGGTGTAATGGTTAGCAAGCTTGGCTCGCTAGAACAATTACAACTGAGAAGTGAGTTCGATCCTCATTGGGTACCCCATACCTTCGGCCTTGTGCCACATATAAGCTACGCTTGGAAAATCACTATATAGTTAGAAAGCTTGTCTTGCTAGAGCAATTACGGCTGAGTAGTGAGTTCGATTCTCACTGGGTGCCTCATACTTTCGGCCTTGTGCCACATCTAAGCTACAATCATTTGAGGGCACCTCGAGGCGGTGTAATGGTTAGCAAGCTTGGCTCGCTAGAACAGTTGCGACTTAGTAGTGAGTTCGATCCTCACTGAGTGCCCCATACTTTCGTCCTTGTGTCACATCGGAGCTACGCTTGGAAAATCCTTAGGGGCGTCTAGGAGTGGTGTAATGGTTAGTAAGCTTGGCTCGCTAGAACAATTACGACTGAGTAGAGTTCGATCCTCACTGGGTGCTCCCTACTTTCGGCCTTGTGCCACATCTAAGCTACGTTTGAAAAATCAATATACATTTTCGTCTTTCATTCTATCTTCCTCCCTGTTTTTTTCTCTATCTGTCTTTTACACAGGCAGGCACATACATGTATTCCTACATTTCGGAAAATTCCAGTAAAATATCTTTTAATCACGTGTAAGATACAACAGTTCAAAGTTTAATCTAACAATTTGATAATTTTGGTGTTAAACGCGATATATATATATATATATATATATATATATATATATATATATATATATATATATATATATGTGTGTGTGTGTGTGTGTGTGTGTGTGTGTGTGTGTGTGTTTTCTTAGGTTGAATTCAAGTTTTAAAAATTACCATGAGCAATATTTCGGTTAATAAAGTTATTTTCCATTTTTCGTCTTTGTATAGTGAGGTAGGTTATGCGCTGTTTTCCTCTGTCCTGCTAGATTTCAGTATGTCCTGTGAGGGTCAAATTTTCCAAACCTTTTTTCCTCACTTCCTGATGTTAAGTATAAGTTTCCTTTCTGCTTCCATTTTCCCGAAAACTTCGTCATTACTAACATGTTTAGTCCATAGCATCCTCACCATCCTTCTGTAGAACCACATTTCTGTTGTCCCAAGTCTTTTCTTCATCTCTGAGGGGATTGTCTAGAATTTATAGAAGGACCGATATTGCATAACAATTCAGTTCTCGAAATTTTCCTTGTTTCTTAAGACATTGCTTAGTCTTTGGAAGGCGTCTTTCTCTATGCACGCTTTTTCGTTGAGCGGTATTTGGCTAGTAAAATTCTTTCTAAATAGCGGTTCAAATTTGTTCAAGATTTTTCAAGCGATATTTGATCAAACGCCAGGAAGGAAAAAGGAAAATACTGTTGAAGAGATGGTTTTTGCAGGTTCGGTGACCTTAGCTATTGCGTAACTAATCAACTAATCTGAAAATCAATTATTCCATTTTCTCCATTAAACTGTAACCTGTATTTAATCATTTTTCTCTTTTTATCCCTACTTTACAACGGCAAGAATTAGTGTTCCGAAGACTTCTTTAATTGCATCTTCGCATTTTCTTCTCCGCCCACTACTACTACTACTCTTTTCTCCTTTTCTATTCCCACCTTAAAAAAAAAAATGACAAATTCTCACTTCTCTCTCCTCCCACTTCTTCTCAGTCGTATCATACCTAGAACTCACTTACGGAACTCTGGCCTCAGTATGCTTGCAAAAGCAAGGTGTCAGTGTGAAAAACTTAATACAAAATTGGTAAACGCATTCTTCGGAGATTTCTCTTGAGTGGCCTGTGTTAGTGATGACAGGCGACGTGGCACTACTTGGACGTAATCGCATTCTACGTCGAGTTCACCTGCGGTAATTAAACGTGAGAAGTGAAGAGATGCCTTTTCACTCGTCGGAGCCACTCGACGCGGAGGGACACATATGCGCCTAATGTGTGCTGAGGAGGCATCAGCCTATCTAGCCAATGTCGTTAGACGTGACCTTTTCAAACGTCAATGTTCAAGTGGGCAAGAAAAGTGACAATGTGTGTAGGTGCACCAGTGAATGTGTGGGCTGATGTGCAAGTTTTCATTTGCTTTTTCAATGTTCGTATGCGCATGTGTATGAGGCATGGGGGAAGGGGAGAGGAGAAACAGTGAGATAGAGAAAGAGCGAGAGATGAGAGATGCAAATAAACAAATAGTAAGAAAGAAATTTCTAATATATAAAAAAATAAATAGATGAAATTAGTAAAGCCTAAAATTTTGCTGTGCACCATATATATATATATATATATATATATATATATATATATATATATATATATATTATACTTATTTGTGTGTGTGTGTATTGTGTGTATATACAAATATATATATGTAGGGGGAGAGAGAGGGGGAAAGAAAAGAGAGAGAGAGAGAGAGAGAGACGCAAATAGTAGAAAATAGATTTCTTAAATATGAAAACAATAAAATGTCTGATATATATATATATATATATATATATATATATATGAGCTGTGTGTGTAGACAGAGACAGAGAGACAGAGAGAGAAGTGTAACACACAAATAAACGAATAGTAAGAAAGAGATTTCTAATATATAAAAAAATCAAATGTCCGTGATTATTATACCCTAAAATTATATATATATATATATATATATATATATATATATATATATATATATATATATGGGGGAAAAGGGCGTATGTACTTGTGTGTTTAGACATAAAGTCAGTGAGAGAGAAAGAGATAGATAGATAGAAAAGGAATGGTGAGATAGAATATCTAATAATAGAGTTTACGGATGTCTCTAAAAATATCTGTACATCGGAGGGAAAGAGGGAGAGTAAAAATGCGTGTGTGTGCGTGTAAGAGCGAGAGAGACAGACAGACAGAGAGAGAGAGAGAGAGAGAGAAAAGAGAGAAATAGTGAAAGAGTGGACGAAAAGAGAGAGAGAGAGAAAAATCAGACAATTTATGAGATAAAATATATGTCGTATATGAATTGTCTGAGATAGATATGAACGGACATAGATATATACAGATAGAATAAAATATTTGACTGAAATTGTTTTCTACGGCTTATCAACACTTTCAGTATTAAATGCGTTTTGTGTGTTGTTATTTAAAATGTCTCTTTTGTGTTCATATAGTCTCTTGTTTAAATTCTTGAGGTTTTTCCAATGTATTCATTCTGGCACTTCCTGCATTTGATAGAGTAAATTCCTCCTTCAAGTTTTGGCTGTTTGTTTTGTTTTTTTATTGATTAAGTCTGATTGTTTTAGATGTAGTTGTGACAAATTTTATTTTGAGTTTAGATAAATTCTTTTCGGTTGTAGTTGTGAGAGAGTTAGTGGGTAGAATAATATATTTTTTTGATTCGTTGGGTTTGTCAAGAAGGACAGATTTTCTATTTTGGAATATTTTATGAGCCTTTTGTTTTACATTGAATATAAAATAGGGTATTGAAGGGTCTTGAAAGTATTTTCAATATATTTCTCCTCTTCGTTTAGATATTGAGGGTTGCAAATATATGAACACAAAAGGGACGTTTTAAATAACAACACACAAAACGTATTGGTTGTTCACCGTGACAAAACGGACCACAGATTTGACATAGGGAATGCTGCTTTGATTAAAAGAGAAAATAATCTACTGAGACGAAAATTTCTGGAAAATGCTTTGATCACTACTTCAGCCACAATAAATTTGCGTCCAGACTCTTACAATATATCGCCATTCTTGGTAGATTTTATATTGTCACAGTGTGGGATAATCAGGAACAAAGGTTGTAGAGAGATAAAGAAAAAAAAATAAGAAAAAAAAAATAGAAAACAGATGAATTCGGCTAGAGTAAAAAAAATTCTTTCAGAAAATATTTTTGAAAAAATATTTTGAAACTAATTACGCGTCTCGTTTCGTGCGCATGTGTAGACGTGGCAACGTTATCAAAGCCCAATCCGAGGAAATCCTAATGCACGAAACGCGTCACAAAAACACCTTCCCAGTTTGTCATATATATATATATATATATATATATATATATATATAATATATAGGGTGACCCCAAAAATGGGATTTTTGAAGTGCGTATTGCTAGACATGAGCAAGTGGCAACACTGCGAGACAAGTAACCTTGAGCAAGTAAACATTTCGCCATTTAGAATTCAAGATGAAATTCACAGTATCCCAGCTGAGATGTTGCAGCAGTCAATGAGGAATCTCAACAGCAGATTTCAAGAATGCATTCATACAGGAGGACGCCTTCTATAGGACTTAATTTTTAGAAAATGAAAGTTCAATCATTGTTTCTTAAATGGCATTTTTAAGGTTTCAATTACTATGAATAAAATATTTTCTTCCATCACTCTTGTTTTTATTGGATTGTTAAAAAGTTCCCATTTTTTTTTGGTCACCCTGTATATATATATATATATATATATATATATATATATATATATATATATATATATATATAATTATTCAACCCCAGGCCACTAACACGCGTGTGGGTTCTTCTTTTATGTGCCGTATCCCCTTAGGACGTAGGCGATCATGTCTCTCCAAACTTTTCTGTCCTTTATAGCTCTTAATAAATTATAAATCTTTTTGCTATCTCTCCTAAACCCTATTCCGCCAGCCATTTACTCAAGCTCACTAAGTATATGCATTGTTTTCCTCTGTCTCTGTTGCTTTCAATCTGTCCTGTGAGTATCAGATTTTCCAAGCCCTCTTTCCTCATCATGTGCCCTAGTCATTTCGACAGTCTCTTCCTGATGTTAAATATAAATTTCCTTTTCGTTTCAATTTTCTCTAAAATTTCATCGTTGCTGACATGTTCGGATTATGGTATCCTTAGCATCCTCCTGCAGAACCACATTTCAATTCTTTCCTTCATCTTTGAGAAGATTGTCCAGCATTCCCTGCCATATATATACACCTTCAGATTTCAGTATCGCACTTTTCGTTCTTTGTTAAAACACTTTCCAGATATTTAAATTTCCGCGCTTGTTTCGTTTTGGCATCTCCGATTTGTAATT